ACTTTGACCTTCTTGCGCTACTCTTTTGGTGCGACGAGTCCGGGTCAGTGCCTGACGCAGGTGCCTTGAAGCCGTCCCCATGTGTCGGGATCGCAGAATTTTGTCTCCCGTTTGGGCGGACGCGTCCAAGGGCAAGCAACGTCAGTCCCGCGTCTGAAGGGGGGCAGAGATGGCTCTCGCGCGCGTTTTGGAGGGGTTCTTCCCTTGACAAGCCGGAGCAATGCAGATTGGCCCGAGCGCGGTAACAAATTTAATCGCTCGTTTATCCTTTTGCGCCCGACGCACGCGCTCACCGCGATAAAGATTACGGTCAACTTTATTCCCTCTCGTTCGCCTTCTTCTCCTTCTTCGCCATAAAAATTAAGCGCAAATAAAATGTAAGCAAATGGTAATGGTGATAAAAAAAATAATATAAACTCTACGCGGTCGCGCTCCCCGCCGCGCGTTTATGACCGACGCCGCGTGCTGCCAAGTCTCCGGGTGCGCTTCTGCGGCCGTCTGGAACGCTCCTCCGCCCGATGTTAGGAAGCCACTGGAGCTGTGCACTTTTAAATCATCGAGATTGACAAGCTCATTTCTTTAGAGCTACTATTTACGCGATCTAACCCAAAAAGCTATGTTATGGGTGATACTGGTCGCGAAAGCCTACGTGTTAGACTGCTTTTTGTGTTTAGTTTGTTATCCTTCTCCCCCCCCCCACCGCACCTTCCATTAGCGCGGTTGGCTATGTACGGCGCGATAGAAGTGAACTTCTCGCGGGGGCAACGGAGCTGCTTCTTGCAGCACCATTCGTCAAACTATTTTTTATTTTACCAGGTAATGCCCACTGAGCGATGTAGCTCTTTTTCAGAAGCGACCTGGCCACAAATGTTAGCTCCACGAAGTGGCTCATCACACGCACATTTATAGCAGCCAAATACTCCAAACGCGCGACGTTGATTCCAAATGTGAAGGGAAGAACCTGGAGGACCCGGAGAAAAATCCACGCGACCACGGGGAGAAAGACATGAAAACTCAAAATATACAGCAGGCGTCAGGGTCGGGATCGAACCCACGACCTCCTGTATACCGAGCAGGATAGTTAAAATCCAGTCAAAAGGGGCTGCTGGAGCTGTCGGCGCTTGATAAATTAATCGATGATGTTTCAGGGTTATTGATACCGAGCCCTGTGTGCGCATTCCATGTACGGTAGCAAATTTGTGAGGAATCTGTTCATAAAAACACACACAATCGCCCTCGGTGACCCCCACGGCGGTGCGCCCCCCCCCCCCCCTGCTCCCACCCCCCCGCCCCCCCCCCCCCCCACCGTGTCCCGAGGGAGCCAGATCGCACACTTTGCGGCCGCTGCCACAGCGGGCGTTTTCGCCGAACTTCCGTCCGGCCGCTGCGTGGAGCGAGCTCGTGTGTATATTTACAACAACAGATACCGAGTCTGGTGCAAATTAGGCTCATTTATACAAAGCTATCCTGTTTTGATATCCAGTTACGGGGGCTGTTACGACGCGATGCCTGTGGTTGGTGCCCGGTGCCCCGCTGGCTACGGAGGGCCACCCACAGACACCGTTCCCCTCGCCCCCCCCCCCCACCGCTTTGCCGACGCTGTTGTGTTTTATTTAATATTTTCGGCCTTTGTGGGTTTTTTTTACTTTCAACGGCAGCCTTCATTTGCAATTCTCCACCGAGTTATGAATCCCAGCCTTGGGAGTTCTCGTTTTGGAATGCGGGCTGGACAGAGCGCGTCCACGGCGCAGTAAATTCCCAGCGATTACCGGGGGGAGGGGAAGTGAGGGACGAGAACGGGCATTGTGGGAGGGGGGGGTGGAGGAGGTGGGGGGGGGGCGGTTGTGAGTGTGGGGGGCACGCGCAGGCCAGAGGGATGGCAGCCAGGTCACTGCACTGTGGCGCCACTGTGGGAAGAAAATACGCGATGGATTCCAAATGAAAAATGGACTTCCGCATGAAGAGACCCAGGCACGTTCACGCGTGTGACGATGCGTCGATTGGTCGATTGCAGTGGATTCTGACGCTCATAGTCGGTTGGGTTGTGCGCGTTGGAAATAGATTCGTCACGATCCGTGCAAATGATGACCTCCGCCCCCCCCCCCCCCCCCCACGGGTTTCCGGGCTGTAACGCGCGTTGTTCGGCACCTTGTCCGACGTTTCAGTCCGCGTGTGGGGAGCTTCTTTAGGGAGCTCGAGTCAGTTAGCAGCGTGCAAGCTGTCGGCAAACGGTGCTCCGACGTTCCATTTGTGCTCACGTGGCAGAGCTAACCCCGTAAGGGAGACAGAAGAAAAGAAGAAGCAATGTTAATGGTACAGCAAAAAATAATGAGACGATAATTATTTTTACTTGAACAGAGACGACGCTTCGAATCGCTGGGAGTTCAACGTATCGCGTGCTTACCAACCGTGACCGAGCCCTGTGAAGGTATTGTGAGAGCGAGGTAGCAATGGATAGGTATGCGCCAATCCAATGGTCATCATCGCTGTTACATAGAAGCCACACGTACGTATGCTCTCTAATCCGCACATTCCCCTCCCTGTCTCTCAGTATACGAATATAGGATTCAGTTGTATGAGATTGTTGATGTACAGGTGTACCCTGTACTCTAGTGGTAGTGCCTTCGGCCACGCTTCTTTTGCACCCTTTCAGCTTCGGTACGTACGCAGGAGACCAGCAGCCCCTTTCGACCGTCTGCTCGGGGGTTGCGGGGCGCGAAAACGGCTCGCGAGAAATTAAAAAAATCTTTACTCGGCGAAAAAAAGATGAAAGGAAATTGAACGCACGCCCTCATCTGACGGTGGGGTGGATGGGGAGCTGTGTAAATCATCATCATCATCATCGGAAGCTGGCTGCGTGCAGCACCCGGGGTTAACCCATGACCCCCACGGCGGGTGCTCAGCTTGCCATAAAAACCCCGTGCCTGCGTGACGCGAGGTGGCGTGGGCCCCTTAGCGACGCACAACGGCGGGCTCACCAATATATATATATTTTTTTACACGCCGAGCTAATTGGGCAGGTTGGGGCGGTTCACGCATCCGGGCGTCATCGCGCACCCTGGCGGCGGCGGTTGCCGACCGGCTACGCGGTTGGCGACGAGGGTCCCTGATGGAATCAACGGAATCGGGTCCCCCATCCGCTTTCTGCACCTCCGATGAGCACGGTTCGCTACGTAGGGTGCGAAAGAAGTTCAACGTACGTACGTACGTACAAGGCCTTTCCTCTCGTAGCCCGGCATCTCGTACGCTGGCAACTTCCCCTATCTCACTTTGCTTGAGCGAGACACTGCTACGGAGGTAAATCCAAACCGTCCTTAATGTCCACGTGCGGTCCTCTGGGTTAGGCCACACGCTGATAATGGCACGACTGCGAACCACCACTGCCGGCGTTGTCACGAGCTGAAGATGCCCGCCGCGGTGAAATCTTGCGCGATGCCACCATGCACGGCCGGTTGTGATAGCTCGCGGGGATTACGTTACGGGCAGCAGAGGGCAGTGCAGCGCACTCGAGTGTTGTACTTTACCTCTACGCTCCCCGCCTTCATCAACTCACGCTGGCCAGCGTGGTGAAGCATGTTCCAGAGCCCGCCCCCCACGACCTGCACGGTGTGGGGAGGTCCTCGATCGGTGGTAGGTTGACAGGATCTTCACTCGACTCGTGAAGACGCTTGCCACAAGCAGTGCACGGCGAAAGCTTCTGGGGCGAAGAGAAACTGAACGGTGCGGCCCAACACGACGGAGCCGCAGGTGCGTTACGAGCGGCTGCGAAAACGATCGCGGCCACCTCGAACATCTCCGGCCGCCGGCCGCCGGCACGGCACGGCCCCGACCGCGGGTGAAATTAGTTACGTTTCCCGTGATTTAGCGAAGCGGTGCACTCCTCGAATTTGGCGCTCGCTCGCTCACTCACTCAGCTGCCGAGCACTGCACGGCCTCCAGCGTGCAGAGTTGACGTGGGCGGCGCCCGTCGGAGATGCGATTGTTTGCAGCGTGCGCTCGCGGGAGCGTGCCACGCGTCCGCGAGCGCCCGACCGGCGTACGAGACGAGACGCGCGAATTAGCGCTCGTGACGACAGTGGTGGTGGTGATGGTAGCCATGATGATGGTGGTGGTGGTGGTGGCGGTGATGATGGTGGTGGTGGTGGTGATGGTAGTGATGGTAATGTTGATGACAATGGTGGTGATGATGGCGGGGATGGTGGTGGTGATGACGGTGGTGGTGATGGTGATGATGGTGGTGATGATGATGGTGAGGGTGGTGATGATGGTGGTAATGATGGCGGTGGTGATGATGGTGATGATAATGATGATGATGGTAATGATAGTGGTGGTAATGATGATGGTGGTGGTGGTGATGGTGCGAGAGGGGGGGGGGGGGTAAACACTGGGGATGAGGACCAAGTGGAGAACTGTGCCACACACCACCACCACCGTTGTCAAAGACTGTGGCCATTAGTGCAAGGGGGGAGGCCCTCTGAGCTTGTTGACCTATGCACGGACAGGTGTATACCGACGTGAATCTTACTCGCCCGTCGTTTTTTATTGTTGTTGGAATAAACAGTTACAGCCAGCAAAACAAAATTGCTATGCATTGATGTGCATATGCGCGTGCAGTGTGGTACGTTCACACTCACAACTTGCAGTGGGCCTTGCCAGATTTTGATCTGCTCCAGTGTCTAACTTCATGGGAGGTGACTTGCTTAGTTCATTGATGATTGGGATCGTATTTTTGTACTAATAGTTCAGTGCAAGACCTAAAGCAGTGTAGAGGAAAACCAATTGAACTCCGCGCCGGAATGTTTGGGCGCCAAGATTTGAACGTTTTTGGTCAGCGTAGCATCGCCGATATTTGTGCAAAATGTCAGCTCCACTAGCCCTTCAGAAAACGTGCTCCTCTGAGGGCATGTGTTACTCATTTGGGCAATGATCCACATGCATGAGAAGCTTCAAACACAAAAAAATAATTCACGTGTTGGCGGCCAATGTCCCCTTTCCATCAGAATCCTGGCACAATCCCGCCGACGCATCTCCATCGCCACCGATGCCGGCGCAAACCGCCAAGGCGCTGCATCCCGGCTGATTTTCGGTAAGGCGTAAATTTCACCCGCGGTGTTGTTTGTACTGCACGCATAAGCCACGCATACGTTGAGCAAGAGAGAGCGGGCGAGAGAGAGTGTGTGTGTGCGTGCGTGCGCGTGCACGCGCGTGCGTACGTACCAAAATATTTTAGAAATGTTGTATGAACCGTGGCGGCTGGAGGCCCCCACCAGCCAATCTCACTGGCGAGGGGGTGGCGGGCCTGGGAATGGGTGAGTTTGCGGGGGGGGGCGACTCGAGGCCCCCTTAGACCGCATCTTGGAAACAAACCGCAGTTGATTGAAATGCCCCGGCCCTAACCTGCAGGCAGGTTTTTCTGTGGTAGTTGCAAGCGGCGGCAGTGGCGGCTGCGGCGGCAGTGGCGGTGAGAAGGGGCTCGCTTGACGAATGGCCCAGAGAGCCGGGGGGAAGGGGGGGGGGGTAGGAGCGGGGTGGTTTAATGTTTCCCGGCGAAGTATGCCGTTTTGTCGTACTAAAAGCGCGATTGCACGACTGGGACCGCCAATAAACGTGCTCGCAGCAAAAAAAAAAAACATAAAATAACAAACTGCGGCCGCCCCGGCTAATTTACGAGGCGGGATGAGAGCGGCGCTTGCGCCCGCCCGCTCGCGCTTGTCAAGGGACCCCGCACGGCGCACGCAGCCAAATTGATGCTGGCGCGTTATGGCACAATGATGAGTAATTCCACTGCGAGTGAGAGAGAGAGAGAGAGGAGAAAAAAAATATATAACGCCTCGAGATGAAATTTCTAAGTTTGTTTTTAAATGGTCAGGGACTCGATGATTGGTTTGTGGCTTCCCAACAGGGCTCTTAAATATTAATTTAGGTGTTGTGGTTCTTCCGGAATAACTTCGGCTAAATTGGCTGCGCGCGTTGTAGAAACGCGCTACCCCTAAAAAAAAAAGAAAAGTGACAGCTGAAAGGCGGCGGGGAAAATATGGGGAAAAAAAATGTTTCGTAAAGTGTGCGTGCCTTCATAATCACTTTGGCTGAAACAAACGACTTTGAAGCATACAAATAAAAGGTTAAAAAAAAATTTGAAACCAAGAGTGATTACGGCGTTAAAAATCCGAGAAATTAAATTAGAAAGGAGACGCTCGTAAGCTAGACTTCAATCGTGGACGTGCGGCAATGCTTTTCGCGTCCAATTCACCAATTAGATGAGCCCCTCCACGTTTTAAGCCCGCGATAAACCAGATATATACACATTCTAACGTGCATATATTTGGTCTGTCCCAGGGGTTAATGCACTTACGGGGACAACAAATGCACCTTGGAGAGTGTTCACCCAGCGAACAACCAAACGTACGCCCTCAAATCCCGGACTTATAAGTCGCGGATGTACAGTTAGCGGCAGCCACCAGCCCGCTTTGTTTAGTGCACACTCTCCGAAGGGCTTGCCACCTCGCGTCCTATATCGCCGTCACTGGCTCCTCCGCAATAGCGCTTACGCTGTGTCTAGCGCTGACACTGTATAGCCGGTTCGCGCGGTTAGCATTGTTCCCGTAACCTTACCCCCTCCCCGCCCCATTTTCCCAGTGCCCCCAAGCGCCGCTAAAACTTTAACAGTGAGGCTCTAAAATGCCGTGGCGCAGACGTGCCAGCGCCTAGCCCCATACGGTTTGTCAGTTCCCTGCCCCCCCCCCCAGCACGAGACGAACCTCGGACTGCAGACTGGGAGCAAGTGTGCGTGCGGCTGCGCTGGGGGGAGAAAAAAAATGATGCCACTACTCAACAATATTTTCTTTTACCAGGTGAGGCCCCGCTGAGCTCTGTGTAGCTTTTTTTTAATCAGAAGCAGACCTGACCATCGCATGCGATAGCTCAACGAAGTGGCTTATCAAGTGGAAATTTATAGTGAACAAATGCTCTTCAGTGCACGTCGATTCTAAATGAGGAGGGAAAAACCGGAGGACCCGAACACAAATCCACGTGACCACGGGGAGAGAGAGACACGCAAACTCCAAATATACAGCAGGCGTCAGGGTCGGGATCGATCCCACAATCTCCTGTGCACCAGGCGAGGTAGTTAACATCTCGCCACCGCAGCCACCTAGCACGGTGCAGGAATGTACACGTACAGAGCCGTCTTGCGTCCATCCGCTGCTGGATGAGGCACTCGGCACACACGCCGTGAAGCTGGTGGAGGTTATTTGAGCGTACTTCTCCCCGGTGATCGGCGCGTGTTGGCGAAGGCAGGGAGCGTAGGCATTGGAGCGCAGTGCGGTCCAACAACAAACAACAAACTCGCTGCACTGCCGCCTCCAGCCTGCAACGGCAGGCCCGCTCGCCGTCTACGGCAGCCTGCGTTGTGCACCGGTGTACGCACATTCAAGAGCTTGCCTAGCCTAGCCACTTAAGCTTCCGAGAGCTGACCAGATCGGGTCATTTGGCCATTTGCGGAACGCTGCGTGAAAAATAAAAACAAACACCTCCCACACGCGCAGGTGATACCTGTGCGTGCATTTTAATGCCACACATTCGCTCAAATCATTTGCATAACTTAGCAACAACACTGACAAAAGCACGCACGGGGAAGATCATCGAGGACAGAGACCCGCGCACCCCGACGCATCCGTCATTTTAAAAGCTAAGGTCGTCCGCTGTCCCAATAAAGCTTTATTGGGCAAATCGCATAATAACGGGTATTTAATGCCCGCAAGAATCACTTACATTCACTTAGATTCCGTTTTTTTTTACTGACTGTATGAAATGGCGGGGGATAACTCCCACGCGCGCACCCCTCGCTGAGACCGATCCAGTTTATTGAGGCCTTAATGGCGCGATGGACGCACCGCCGCATTCACGGCTGCCCCCCCCCTCCCTCTCCCCAACACCATCGCCTCCCCCACGCGCCACGGCCACCACCGCCGGCCGCCCCCAAGCGACAGCGAGGCCATTACCGGCCAGCGGGGCCTTGCGTGCGTCCGCACGCGCGCGTCCCATCGGAAACTGAATTTAATTACTCGAGCTCATCATAATCGCCGCTCGCCACGATTAGCTTCCCGCCCGTGCTCCTCGCGGAACGGGAGGAAATCGCCGCGCCCGCCGCAAATGAATGCGGGAATTTAATGGTCGTTTAGCTCTTTATGTGTTTACATTTGAGCGCGATATCGCCGCTGATATATTAACGAAATGCCAGATTTGCCGCGGGGGGTGCGAACCGTCCCAACCGCTGTGAGCCAATATTTGAAAGGTTGGAACCGGGTCAGTGATCCCGGCACACTGCCGCGTAAACGTGTTTATTTTCGACTCTCAAATGCAAATTTCCAAATAGATTTTTTTTTATCTGTCACTTCTTGCGGGGAAATTAAACACAACTGGGGGCTTCATTCGCATGTCCTTAACCCCTACGATGCAAGCAGCCAATTGAAGGGGGCTTCCTATTGGCAAACCGCTGGCTGTGCGAACATTTTTTTTGAGCGAATGTGCTCCTCGAAAAATTATTCTGCCATTACTAGATTTTTTTTGAAGAGTAATTTTCCACCAGGGGAGTGTGGGTTTTTAACCTCCTCGAATCACACTCCCCGGGAGTGCTATGAGCATTTTTAGGGCCCAGCAGGTATCGTCAATGGGCCATGAACCGTCATTTGAGCTGTTCACTCGTCTCCTGTGCCGGCATCTTAGCGGCCTCACTTTGGGTTTTGTTTAATCAGGGCCTACACTCGAGGGAGCTCCAGAGAGCCCCTCAAGAGTGTACATAGCCTACACCTCCACGCTGGCCAGACGATCTGCCAGTCGACTACGAGCAGGCTCCTGGGTGGGAACTTGCACCGTAGTTTTGACTGCTTTCAAAATAGGCTTGGAGCAGCCACGTGCGTGGAGGCCGAAATTTAGTGTCGTCCACCGTATCTCTCTGCGCCGCTGTCACCCTGCACAGCTCACGGTGGAACTCTCCTACAGAGGCAGAGCGACTCACAACCTCCTCGTCCTTCTCATCCTCCTCGTCGTCCTCTGTACATCGAGGAGCAGGAGACCATGGTCACTGCGAGGCATCGTCTCTCCGTGCAGCTGTCTGGAACGCCATCCCGCTGCGCATCGACCTACACTGACTTTGGAGAGACGTTTAAAGGCCAACCTCTTTCTTAAAGGCCTCACTTCTTTCTTAAAGGCCCACCTTTTAAAGGTCCACCTCTTAAAGGTTCACATCCTATTTAAAGGTCCTCACCTCTTAAAGGCTCCACCCATTTCTTAAATACTCCACCTCTTTCTTAAAGGCCTACCTCTTAACGGTCCACCTCTTTCTTAAAGGCCCCACCTCTTTCTTAAAGGCCCTGTCTCTTAAAGGTCCACGTCTTTTTTAAATGGCCCCACCTTTTCTTAAAGGTCCATGTCTTTCTTAAAGGCCCCGCCTATTTCACCTGGCTTTCAAGCAACACTGCTCCTTGGCACCGCGACCCAAGAGTTGCGGTCACTTTTGTCCGAGAGATATTGTGTGCATTTATAATTTGCATTCCTATTACACTACGTAACACAATTTTTGTTCCTGGGTAGTAAGTGTTATTTTGTTATTTGCGTATGCCTAAAAAGTATAGAAAATGGCTATTATTCCCCACAAACTTTGCTTTTGTGACCAGGACAGTGATATTTTGAAATGTACCTATTTTTAATGAGAAAACTGGCGAATTTGTCTCACATAAGTCAGAAAAAACAACATATGAATCAAAATTGCCATGTATTTATACTGAAGTAATACTAAAATGCCTACAAAAGATTTATAAGTGAGTAGTTTTTCGAGATTTACGATTATACTGTAATCACCTTCACGAATCAGCCCCCAAATGTCGTCTCCCATCATGTTCTCGTTATATTGTCCTTGGTAGCGGCGTTCAAAGTCCAATATATCCTGGTGGAAGCACTCGCCTTGCTCCCATGTTTTCCTTGAATTTATAAAGATGAGCATCAAGGATATGGACTTTGAGGGACATCTTACAGCCCATTGTGCCGTAGTTCTTAACCAGTCTCAACCAGCTCCACGTAGTTTTCGACCTTGTGATTGCCCAGGAAGCCACGAACCACTGCGACAAAGTTGTTCCAAGCCGTTTTCTCCTTACTAATGAGCTTCTTGGGGAATGTATTGCACTCCAAGATCTTCTATATCTGTGGTCTGACGAAGACACCGACTTTGACCTTTGCCTCAGACAGCTTTGGGAAAAAGTCTTGAAGGTACTTGAAGGCTGCCGACTCCTTATCTACAGCTCTGAGAAATTGTTTCATAAGGCCCAATTTTACGTGCAGTGGTGGCATCAGCACCTTCTGGGGGTCCACCAGTGGCTCCCCACAGAGAACTCAGTCCGCTGTGGCCAGTCCCACCTGTGGTAGTGCGCCTTGGTGTCCCTGCTGTCCCAAATTCAAAGATAGCAGGGAAACTTGGTAAAACCGCCTTGGAGACCCATCAGGAATGCCACCATTTTTAAGTCTCTGATGACCTTCCAACCGTACTCATAATACTTCAAGGCGTCCAGCAAGGTCTTGATGCTGTTGTAATCCTCTTTGAGGTGCACCGTGTGAGCCAGGGGAAGAGACGGGTACTTGTTACCATTATGCAGCAGCATGGCTTTGAGGCTCCTGGATGAGCTGTCAATGAAGAGGCGACACTCATTATGGTTACAGGCGATTCTGAACAGACTGGTCACATTGTGGAAGAAGCAGAGCCCATCTTGACGGGTGAAGAAGCTGCAAAAAGGTTGGTGACGCTTCCTCTGATCTGCGACTTGCACACTTTTATCCAACAAGTTCCACTGCTTGAGCCTAGACGTCAAAAGCTCGGCATTGGATTTGGTGAAACCAAGATCTCTGATCAAGTCGTTGAGGTCTTTTTGGTTGGGGTAGTGTGGGTTTCTCTCCTCAGCTCCACCTCTGAAATTGTCATCTGGATCTACAACGTCTTCCTCGCTCTCTGACTTGCTGCTCTCTTCTAAAGACGGCTGCTCTCTCTCTGGAGGAGTGGGTACAGGGAGCTCATGGCAGTGTGGCACCGGGGCGATGGATGAAGGAAGGTCCAGATACGTGATAGCAGGTGCATTCTTGCCAGTCCGACGTTTGGAAGGGTCCACCACGCAGAAGTAGCAGTTGCTTGAGTGATCAGTGAGTTCCTCCCAAATTATTGGGATAGCGAACTTCATGGCTCTCTTTTCCCCTCTGTACCATCCTACAAAAAATCAATTAATTTCACCCATAACTAATGTGCAAGAGATTCTCCCAACATTTTTCATTTATTATATATATTTTTTTGCAATAACTTAAAAAATTGTAAAACATTTTTTTATTAAAAACTTTTACAATTTTAAAAGTTGTAACAAATTTTATAACATAAAATTCCGAGGAACAATTGTCCATCTTACCTTCCAGAGTTTTTTTGCATTGCTTGCAGGTGAAATAAGGTGCCCAGGGTTTGACTTGGTCCCCGACAGGCATGCCGAAATATGCCTTGTAGGCCTCACACATCTTAGCAGATGCTTCCACAGAGTACTTTTTTCGCTCTTGTCTTGATAAATTGGCCGCAGACAGAGCAAAATGCGTCTGCCGGATGCTTGCAGCCTCTTGATGCCGTGTCAGAAAAATGCAGATATGTATCCACAAAGGCAGCTGGAACTAAACTGAACCAGTGGGCTTAAGGCCCCTGTATTTATACTACTATTTATATTACTGAAAAGTTCTAGAATGTTCTAGAAGTTACTCCAAGTTTACTCAGCACTGAATCTATCTGGAATGTTCTGGAAAATAGGTACATTTCAAAATATCACTGTCCTGGTCACAAAAGCAAAGTTTGTGGGGAATTAATAGCCATTTTCTGTACTTTTTAGGCATAAGCAATTAGTTTCATAGTTTCATTTATTTGGTATAGCCCTGTGAGCCATTCGGCTCTTGAATCGGGTGCAACCGCAACAAACAAAAAAACTAAAACATGAACAAGAAAACATCTTAAAGTGACTTGGTGCATGTGCAAACAGAAAATCCAGGAAAAAAAAACATCAAAATATTCCTGAAATAGCACCGTACACCAACGCTGTGTGCAAAAATCCCAGTGGGATGCAAGTCAAACAACAACAGCAACAAGAAAACTTAGATTAAGGAAATACTACCCAGGAACGAAAAGAATGTCACACAGTGTTATAAGTTTTCTTCTTCTAAGAACTACACTACGGATCGCACTTCCCGAAGAAGCATCCAGCAGGTGGAGCGAAACGTCGGAACATCGTGCCGAACAACGTGCGGCACGACCTGAAAACGCACCGGGGGGATTTAAGAAACCCACGAAGCGCTAATGCATCGTGGAAGTTGCGAAGCGAAAGAAAAAAAAAATGTCGTGTCCTCGGCTGACGCAAAATAAAGAATCAAAGCGATGCACGGGCCAATAATTGCCGGGTAAAAAAAAAAAACATCTCCTTAATTATTCATTTCAATTAAACGCATTTAAGCTGACCGAAGCGGGTTCGCGTTTATTAATTTTAATTCGCAAGCGGATCGCCTCTCCTTCGGAGGTGCTGAAACTTGGAAAACCCGCTCGCTCGCGCTCGCGCGCGCGAGCGGGGGGAACTTTGATCAAAACCAATTTTCCAAAACTCGGCAGGATTCAGCCGAGTCGACGTGTCGCCTAGTCCCCTCCTCGCCAAAGCTGACCACCGCAGTCTGGCAAGCCCGAGGGTACAGGACGACGCTCACGCGGCTGCCGGCCCCCGCTGGAGACGACGCCGTTCAACGTCGTCTCGGTAACTCTGGCCGCGAACGCTTCACATTTGCCGGGCTTGGCCGACTTGTGAGTCTGCACCCGACGACGGCGTTCATGCCGCCTCGTATCACTTTAAGACACACAAACTCTCTCGAGTTTTGGACCTTTCGGCGGCACGCTGGTGAACGTTCCTTTCTTCTCAGTTTCGTCTTTTCGGAACTCTCAATAAATCTTGTACGGACCTCCTGATTGCCCGTTGACCATCAAGCTAGTTTCGCCAGTAATTATAACTAGCTTCATCAAGCTAGTTGTTATTACTGGTGAAACGTCGTACTCAGATTGTAAATGTTGTGGCTTTGCTCTCCAACACACCGGTGTGCTGTACTAGTGACGGATTGGCGTGTTTTGTTTACGTGACAAACCTTACTAATTGGCTGTGTCGGGTGGTGGCGGGTTTTAACGACACATTTATATTTACGTGATCCAACCCAAAAAAACCTGTATTATGGATGATATTGGTCGTGAAAGCCCACGTGTTAAACTCACAGAGCTGCCTCTGAAATCCCTTCAAGTGACCTCTGGTCAATAAACTAAGAGAGGAGCACTTCACCCACCGGCACTGCCACTCCAAAGTAAAGTTCATCATATAGACAGTCAATCTGGAAGTTTTAACTTTAATGAAGGGAATTTATCCAATCTAAGTGTAGAACCAAAAGTAATGCTGTATATTGTTTGTGTGTGTGCAGTCATTTGGCGAGCGGTAGTGTAGCATTTAGCGCACTGCGTTACGAACCCGGTGACCCGATTTCGATTAGCGCTCACGGCCAACACCAGTGACGATTATCTGAACCGGCACTGGGCCCCCTTTTAGATCGACTCAGTCTCAAATGAGTATTTGGTACTCATCGCCACTATGGAGACAAAGGCGGCCGGGCGTGGTGCTGGCCACCCACCCCCTCGTGTGCCGTGCCGGCCTTCATAGGTGCTCACTAAAAGCACTTGCCCCTACAGTCTGTTCAGGCTATACGTGGGATCTTTGTTTTTACAGTCATTTGGCGACAGCTGCTGAGATTATAATAATCAACTCACTACGCTTGAGAACCGGGTCTTTTTATTATTCATGGGAATCTACACGAGCCCAGTACAAAGCACCGATCACAACAGACGAGGGGGGAGCGGCAACTCTGCCGAGCAACAAATCCCAGGGATCGGGGACGCCAGAGCTGACGGAAGGGGGGTGGTGCATTCGGGCTCTCTGCCCCACCCAGGTGGAGACCTTGAGCGAGAACGAGACAGCTCATATGGGGAGGGAAAAATGAAGGGAAAGATAACAAACCTTTATTTTATTTTATACTTACGTGACTTTACCGAAAGAACCAAAGAGTATGGATTCCGCTGCCTGGATTGGGATCCGCGATATCAGCGATGCCAGCTCTGTGCCACCCGGAGCACCTCACCGCTGCCCCCCCCCCCACCCCCTCCCGTTTTTAATGGCCAGTGATGTGAGATGTGTAAATATGTTGTTGCTTATGCCATGTGGAATAGCAGGGCGGGGGGGGGGGCGGTGGAGGGTTGATCTATTGTTGTTTTAGTCATTCACGCAGGCAGTTTTTCGCACACCGAAGTTGTGGGTATGAAATCACGTGATTTGCTGGGAAGTTAATCTCACTTTTTATCTTATCATTGCCCACGAGGCTTCCGAGTGAAACGCTCATCTTGAACGGAGTTAGTCCCCAGATAAAAAGTTGCAGTAAACCATAATCTTATGGCAAGCGATCCAGCCAGGTTGGTGATTGACTCGCGCCTTCATTCTTTACGGGGCCGATACAATAGGCACCGCTTCGTGGGGGAGTCAGCAACGAAAGAACCAAAGAGTAAGTCAACAACGGTTGCCCTAGGGAGATACTCGTCCCTGCCATAGGAATGTGGAATGAACACCACTGTAAGCAGGACATGAGCACCAATGCCTCAATGCTCGTGATGACACCAAGAAAGTAATAAACAAGTCGGAGAAAAATCGTGCGTACGCATGGATTCTGAAACGCTCCCCAATGTGCACTTGTTTTTGGAAGTGTGTTTCATTCGCAGTTCGGCAAGCCGGCGGGGAGCTGTCGGGCCAAATCGCGAATGCAATAATTGCCAGAAGTTTATTGCTCTGGTGTGTGTCTCCTACTTCTGAGCAAGCCTTTGATCATTTTATTTTTTTAAACGACATCCGTAAGGGCAACACAACTTCAAACTGAAGTGTAATTCGTATCGGATCATCGTTTCCCAGAGTTGTTGTGCTGCCACGTTACAGACGGATGGAGGGACGGACGGACAAATCCAATTAATGCATAATAAACCTTCAACATACGTTGTAAAGGGTTAAAATAAGACAAGCAAGCAGCATTAAAGATGCACACAAGCATCTATTCCCATTCATTAACTCGGTTGATGCCCCGCATTTTATGTGAAATGTAAATACACGCCTGCCTATCTTTGAGCACCCCTTGCAGAAGAGATGGCGTTTAATTTATTTATGAAGACTGTGAAATGTTTGGCGGGGGGGTTATATTGTTGGATGTGATTTTCTTAATAGGTTTGTTATCTCCTCTCTTGGTCACATAAAATAGTGCGCACTGATGCGAAATTTGGGTTAATTTTATTCGTAAAAATAATATTAAGTGTGTAACAATATTATGCCCCTCCTCGCCCCACATTATGATTCCGTGAATTGTCACGATTCCATTCAAGAATCACACCCCCCCCCCCTCCACGCTGGTGAATATAGCGGGCGGCCTCTAGTGGCAGCAGATCGCCACGTGAACACATTATGCTCGAGGTTGGCCAAGCAAACATCATTCTTTCCTCCCGCAAGCACCGCTGCCCATGCAACCCCGGCAGTTGAATTTAACATTGGGTGCCGTTGATTCTCAGATAGAGATGCTAACTACCTCGCCTGGTACACAGGAGGTCGTGGGTTTGATCCCGACTCTGACGGATGCTGTATATTTGGAGTTTGCATGTCTTATTTTTTTTTTCCGGTGGTCGCGTGGATTTTTCTCCGAGTCCTCCGGTTTTTCCCTCCACATTTAGAATCAACGTCACGCGTTCGGTGTATTTGGCTGCTGGACATTGCCACGCGATGAGCCACTTCGTTGAGCTGTCATTTGTGGCCAAGTCGCTTCTGATAAAAAGCTACAGAGCTCAGTAGGGCCCTACGTGGTAAAATAAAATAAAAATCGTTTAGTCGTTTATTTGTGTGTGATTTCGGGTTGCGCATCGCGTTGTTGTCGTTCCGTCTCTCTCCCAGCTCCTGACGTCTGACGCCATCCCTAACCTCATGCGCTGCAAACCAGAAAACTCACAACACGGAGCGGTGCGGCACAATCGTCAAACAAGAGGAAAAAAAAGCTGCATCACGGTACTGCAACAAAATAGACAAGCGAGCAATAACCCTCCTGTTCACATCTGTCCCTGGAAGTAAAAATAAATACGTTATTTTACACATCCCATCAGCCACATGGCCTTTCTGGGGAGTGCGAACAGTCAGCAGCATTGGCTCAACGCAAGCAAACCCCCCTTGGACCCCCTTTTCGACATTCAACGTCTCTCAATTAGCACGGTCAGCTACGTACGGTGCGAAAGACGTTCGATGCACACACACATGAGCAGTCAGGCTTGCTTGAGCCAACGCTGGCAAACTTGGCAGAGGTTGATATGCCGAGGGGGTCCTGCTCCGTTAGATACAGGTCCCAATTCGACGCAGGAGGCTACCGCTGGTTACGCTTTATTGTCCGCGCGTTGTGCGTGTGCGCGCGCGCATGAACACCGACAGTTAAAAGCGGCACAGCTCTCTTACAAAGTGAGCCCGTTAAGTTAACCGGCGAGCAGCGTGTTTACAAGGAGGTATTCCTGCCAAGCGTCGCGTCGCGCTGCGCGTATTGCCATTTAGGCCACAGTGCTTTACAGCCACATCGCATACCCCCGTGCGTGCGTGTGTGTGTGGCGTGTGTGTGTGTGTGGCGTGTGTGTGTGTGGGGTGTGTGTGTGGCGTGTGTGTGTGTGGCGTGTGTGTGTGGCGTGTGTGTGTGGCGTGTGTGGCGTGTGTGTGTGGCGTGTGTGTGTGTGTGGCGTGTGTGTGGCGTGTGTGTGTGTGTGGCGTGTGTGTGTGCGTGGCGTGTGTGTGTGTGTGTGGCGTGTGTGTGTGTGGCGTGTGTGTGTGTGGCGTGTGTGTGTGTGTGTGTGTGGCGTGCGCACGCGCTACGAACCTCGCGCGTCGTTGCTAGATTCTGGTGCACTGGTGCGGTATTGCCGCTAATAGACCGCATGATTGGGTTTGTGGCTGTGGAGGGGGGTGTTGGTGAGTGTGGTGGGGTGGGAATTGTGCAAGAAAGGATAAAGGATTTGGGGGGGTCTGGCTGCGAGTGGGACATTGGGAGGGCTGAACGGTGGGGTGTGGGGGGGGGTATTATGCTGGGGAGCCACGGGGAAGTGGGGGGGGGCTAGAGAAAAAGGAGAAGACGGAGCAATAGGAAGGGGTCCACCCCCCCCCTCGCCCCCTCTGCTTTCTCATTCACCACCTCCCCTCCATCACCGCCACCACAGCCACTACCCCACACACCCACCCCCTGGTGAGCTCTCAATTACAAACGTAGCTAATATCTAACAACATTCCTGCACACTCAGCCCAATTAATCAGTGTTCGGGAGCGGCCCCTTTTCCTTACGAGCTTCCATTACAGCGCTAGATGAGAGCCGCGCGAGATTAACGTGAAAATTACACCCGTGCCACCCGTGACAAGATAAGCCAACCCGGGGTGGGGTTGTGGGGGGCCCAAAAGATTTGCTGCCAAGCCCCAGATATAGCGCGGGCCGAGACGGGCGCGTCGCTGCAGCCCTCCCCCCCCCGCCTCCTCCCCACACTCCACGTGTATCTTGAGCCTCGGCGAGCCGTCATTAACCCTTCGCCTGCCCCGAGTCTCCCCTCGTTAACCGCTGTTTGCAATCTTCTCTCCTCGGAGAGCGGAGGGGAGAGTGTTGTTGTACCGCTGGAACACGTGTCTGTGTGTAGTTGCTCTGTCGCGCTGGTGTTTCTGTCTGTGTGTAGTCTGTGATGCTGGTACGGTCTCTCCATGCGTAAGCATGTAGTGCTGGTACGTCTGTCCTCGTGAAGTGCCGGTGGTACATCTATCCGTGTGTAGTTTCTCTGAACAGATTGAATCGGCCACATTGTGTTGGAGAAGGGGACAATTTGTCGAATCGAAAGTGAGTGTTTATGTTGTAGCCTTTGATCTACATTTTTAAAAAGAAGTTGGACGTATCTGTATCAATAAAGGCGGCATGAACTCGGCCGGTTGTCCAGAGGGAATGCTCCAGAGAGGACCGACCGGCCGGGAGATGGAGTGATGAGATCGTCGCGTGTGCAGGAACCGGATGAATTGTTCAATTGGGTGACCTTGAGGGATGGTGACAGCTTTGGAAGGTCTTCATCCAGCGGTGGATATATTACGACTCAAGATCATGACGATCATCATCATCATCATCATGTGTTTGTCAGTAATGTTGATATCATATTCACGTGCAATTTGCACGTGCGTGCCACAGCAATAGTCCAGGTTTGTAATGCAGTTCGAATAAATGTGCTCCCAGACTTTATACCTGAATGCCTGGTTTAGTTTGTTTTTTTGTTGCTCGGGCCAATATCAAGGGAACACAATTAGCAGATCGTTCTTGAAAAGACCGGTCTACTGATTAGAGCATTGGAGCCATTTAATCAGTCTTTTTTGGCAAGGTAAGGGAGGTTTAGATGAATCTAAGTCACAAAGCCGCAGGGACGTATATTTTTTCTGAAGTTAACGCGGAACGACTTTGTTTTGGCACTTGACAGCCAACCCGATTGTCGAGGAGCGATATTTTTTTCACTTTTTGGGAGGGGCATCTGCGAAACTTGCTGAGGCGACTAACAAGGGTCTGGGCTATCAGCTGCACGCATGCTAGGCAAAGTTAATTATTTAATACGTGATTAACCCGCTTAATTAACCTGGGGATAAAGATTAATTCCTTAAGTCGATACGGGGTCAGGGTAGGAAGTATCTGTACCCGCCCGCCGTGTCCACAGATAGTCACGAGATAGCCGAGCGAGCCACCGCCGCCGCCGCCGAGCTGAAATGAGCCGTCAGCCTCCCTCCGCTCGTCCATCGCTCGCCCCGTCTCTCCGGAGCGGCCTTGCACCTCCCCCCCCCCCCCCCATAACACTCGCAAGCCCCGCCAGTCAGATTCGCCGCCGTGTCGCCGAAGTGGGGCGGGGGGGGGGGGCGGGGGGGAGTGAGGGGGGGTCAGCTCTCGTGGGGGGCGGAGGGGGGTCAGCTGTCGTGGGGGGTGGGGGGGGTCAGCTCTCGTGGGGGGGCGAGGGGGGTCAGCACTCGTGGGGGGCGGGGGGGGTCAGCTCTCGGGGGGAGCGGAGGGGGGTCAGCTCTTGGTGCCGTTCCCCGTTGGGTCACCCCCCCGTCCCCCCCCCGTCCCCCCCGCCCCCCCCGTCCCCCCCGTCCCCCCCCCGTCCCCCCACCACTTGTCGCTGCTGAAGAAGAGGGAGGAGGGGGAGGTTTGGGGGGGGGGCACGCGGGTTTGCTCCGTCGTCGTTGAGTTGGGTGAGTTGGGTGAATCGTTCAAATTCGCACGAGGAAGCAGAATGTCGTTTTCCCGCTTGGACGTTGACGGCTGCGAGTTTGTCTCCGGCGTGAGGCGGCCGCGTGGCTAAAAGGATTCGTTTGCTCTGCCGCTCACCCACCGCCGCTGCTTCAGATGGTCGCCTCTAGCGGTGAGCGTTTCGTTGTTGTTCAAGGCCAAGGTCAAGGGGGGTCATCGTTGCAGACGGTATGGCGACACACCTCGCCCTGTTGCGTCCTTACATTTGCTCAGTTGCAGTTGTTGCAACGCCAGGTGGCACGCTACGTGGCTTCACATCGTCGACATGTTGCAATCAATGGCTCACCCCGATGGACCATTCTTACCGTTTCACAACCATCTGCTTTGAAGTCGTCCCCTTGGTTGCCAGCCTCTGGGTACCACTCCAATCCCGGTTCTTGGTAACCTGCCACCCTCCAACCTACACAGCACCCATCGCTACATCATCTTCCTTTTCCAGACTTCCGAATTGCTTAACCTCGCCAGCCATAGCATTGCTAGCAACATGCACGTGTCTGTATGCCCCCGTATGCATGCGTTTTCTGTGAATGTTCCGATGTCTTCCCACACGAAGCCAAACACTCATTCATGGGTTTTGGCCAAACATCTTAATGCAGGACGCTCCTGAAAAAAGAGTATTTTAGTGAGACTTCACTGGTAAATGAAGGTCATTGTTCGCAAAGGCAGAGCGTCGCTATGCGTATTACTACCTACGTATGTGTCCAAATTGACATAGTTTTGTTATTTGTAACTTTGATTCAGCGTTGCAATACCTACAATACATTTAAGCGCATATAATCGCAATAACCAAGGTGAATAACAATGGAGTGCTTAGCTTCATCATCGGGCATGGGTGATGGTAAAAGAGTCTTGTATTTACAAAGAGGGCCCCCCCCCAAAAAAAAAAACAACTGCATCTGCAAGTGGAATTTTGGGCCCAAGACTTGAACTCGGAATCGCAACGGTTGCTGGCTTGCAATCCCGAGTCGACCGGGCCAGCCTCCTTTGTTCGTATTCCTGAAGCCCACATCAGAGACATGCCACCACGAAGACCGCATTCGTACATTTCATTCCCTTGGCCGGGTTGTGTCCAGACAACAACAAACAACGACGATTAACTGATGCAGCTGGGAGCTGTCCACTGCTGGATGAAGTCCTCCCCGCGCCTCCATTCGCCTCTCGCGGTCCTGCGGTGAAAAAATAATCCACCCAGCTCCTGGGCACGACGCTTCGACGCCACGTTACACCTCCGATGAGCACGGTTGGCCACGTACGGTGCGAAGGAAGTTCAAAATGCATACATGTACAGACCGCTGAGCTCGCACCATTAGGATCCCAGTTTTGAATCCAGGTTTTCAGCCACCCCATGATTAAAAACTGTAAACACACTTTTTTTATTTTACCAGGTAAGGCCCGCTGAGCTACATAGCTCTTTTTCAGAAGCGACCTGGCCAACACAAATGACAGCTCAACGAAGTGGCCTTTCACGTGGACATTTTATAGCAGTCAAATACTGTTAAGCGCATGTTGATTCTAAACGTGGAGGGAGAAACCCGGGTTCTTAAAGTGTAATCAGTTGATGGCCTCGATTGGCATTAAACTGAAAATTGAATTTTTTCAATAACATTTCCGCAGAGCAGCGCGTCGAGCGCGCATGATTAAAGCACGAGCGGGCGGACGAACGAGCGGACGGGCGGGCGAGTGGCGGCAGATGGCCGTGGCCAGGGGCCGGCGTGGGTCTCACGTGGGTGGTGAGGACATCACCGCGTGCGGTGGCGACCCTCCGCGAGACCAGACGCGTGGCGTGGGCGACACGTGGGACCCCGTGGGCGGGAGACGCCAGCACGGCCGGCGCGGCGTTTTGAGTTCCATCGACGCGTGCGGTGGTGGGGGGTGGGGGGATAGGGAGGTGGTGGGGGGTGGGTGGGTGGGGGGATAGGGAGGTGGTGGGTGGGGGTCGGTCGGGGGGGAGATGCGCGTGTCTTGCCGTGTCGGCGGTGAAGCCGGTGTCAACCTTTACGTCGTGCGTACGATTGTCTTGATGGGAGAAGCTAAGCAGCGATTGAGCCTGGGGTAACACTTGGTCAGGAGACTTCTCCAGAATACCAAGTTGTTGTTGTTTGTTGTTGTCGGTTTCGGGCTGTTGTGTGGCCAAGTAAATGGCAGAACAGAAAAATCCACCATCAGGTGTTTCCCCCCCCCCCCCCCTCGCATGTGCGGTGTTTCTCCGGCTATTCTGGTTTCCTCTCGCATGAAGCCAAACACTTGAGATGGGGGGACAGGGGGGGGCGTTCAGCAGGTGGGGGCGTGGGGGGTCGTCTCCGTGCATCAGCGCCAAAGGCGGTGCCCGCCCTCACCACCGAT